AAAGGTAAGTATCTTTTTTTTATTTATTAAAAATAAAAAAAAATAAAAATAAGAAACTTACCTTTATATAATACATCCGCGTGAGCCTACGAACCCAATTTTTACCTTCACAAGTGTTCCCACAGACTCTTAAACTTATTTTCAAGGTGAGAAGGAGGAAAAAGGTAATAAAGGAAGAAAAAGTAAGTTTTTTTTTTTATTTTTATTTAAGAATAAAAGATAAAATAAAAAAAAACTTACTTTCGTATTATACACTCGTGCGAAGCCCATGAACCTGATTTTCACCTTCACAAGTGTCTCCACAGACCCTTAAACTTATTTCCAAAGTAAGAAAGAGGAGAAAGGTAATAAGGGAAGAAAAGATAAGTATCTTTTTTTTATTTTTATTTAAAAATAAAAGATAAAAATAAATAAAAAATAAAAAAAAAACTTACTTTCATATATACACCCGTGCGAAGCTCATGAACTCGATTTCCATCTTCACAAGTATACCCACAAGCTCAATTCTAGAGAAAGAAGGAGAAAGGTAATAAAAGAAGAAAAAGGTAAATATTTTTTTATTTTTATTTAAAAATAAAAAGATAAAAAATAATAAAAAAACTTACCTTTGTATAATACGTCTGCGCGAGCCTACAAACCCGATTTCCACCTTCACAAGTGTCTCCACAAATCTTTAAACTTATTTCTGAAGTGAGAAGGAGAAGGAGAAAGGTAATAAGGGTAAGTATTCTTTTTTTTATTTTTATTTAAGAATAAAAAAAATAAAAATAAAAAACTTACCTTCGTATATACGTCCACACACTCAATTTCTGCGCATCCGATTTTCACCTTCCTACAAACTCTTAAACTTATTTCTGAGGTGAGAAGAAGAAAGGTAAGTTTATTATTAAGGAAAGTCAAGTTTTTTTTTAAAAAAAAAAACTGATTATTAAATTTTTTTTAAAAAAAAATTTTTTTCTGTTATACTAATTTAATCTGAGGTAATACAAGAGGTTTAGGATAGTTTAGGAAGTTTAGGATAGTTTCGGAGGTTTGGGTAAGATTTAGGAATTTCAGAATTTGGGTAAATTATATAAAGGGCTAAATCCCCTTTAGAACAGTTTCAGTTTTGGCTTTTTTCTAAACCCTGATGTTTAGCCGTACCCTTTAGTCTGAATGCCTTACTTTCACTTTCAGGTAAGTGTTTAAACCATTCATATTGTAAACCTGATTGATCAGGTGCTTTTTTATTAGGAAGAAGTCTGATCACTTCCAATTCTTCTATTTCTACTTTGTTATATAATGAATTATACCATCTAACATTAATTTCTTCAGAGGGTTCATACCATTTTTTCCATTTTTTCAATAAATGCATGTTTGTTTCTCTCTTTCTGATCCATTAATAGAAATGATTACGTACCTTTTCTTTTATCTCGTTACTGTCAGTGATGATTATTCTATCTCCATTTTGATTTGTGTCTATTAGTCGATCTATAATAATTGTTTTACAGGGTTTATCTAGTATACTGTTAATCATATGTTTCTTGTTGTCTTTAAGATCTTCCTATCATTTTTCTACTGCTTTTCGTATACATTGGGTTATTTCTTTTCTTTTTTCAGCCCTAGCAGTTGCTCGGAATTTGAGACTTTGTTCTCGTATTACCTCAAGGAAGTCTTCACGTGATTTATTGTCTTTAATTAGTTGATCAATATTGAAGTTTGTGATTGATAGCTTCCGGACTTCTTTTAAAAAATCTCTTTATGACTTTATATATTTCATAGAGTGCGCTCTTTCCTGTCTGACCAGTCGAAATAATTTGCCACATGACTTAGCTCTCTTTATATTTTCTGATACATCTTTGTTTACAGTTTTATTATATTTCTTATTTTTCTTTTTTGATATGACATGATTGGCAGCTTCAATCATTATGTTTTTAAGTATTTTCCAAGATTTGTTTAGAGAATTAATTGAGTTGTTATATTTTTCTTTTCTATTTTGGAAGGTAGATTTCTCTAACTTATCTTGTACATATTCACTAAAATCTTTTCATTTTCCTTCATCCATTAGTTTCATATTATAGCGTGGACCTCTATTTTCAATCATAACTTCTGTATGTTTGTTTTGCCATGCCTTTTTAATTTGTATTCTTAAAAGTTTATGATCACTATCTGTAACTAGTTGCAGATCATCTAGTTCACAACGTTTAATTTTGTTGCCCCATTCCTGTGACATCCATATTGTATCTATTCTACTTTGTTCAGTTGAATTATTACTCTTCCAAGTGTATCCATTGTTTTCTGGATGTACCACACAATAGCAATCGATCATGTCTTTACCAGTTAATAGTAGGAATATCTCGCTTTTTGATAAGAAAATTTGGTTATTATTATTTCTGTTTACAAGTGGTGACGGGACTACATTAAATCTCCCATAACAATAATTCTATAGTTGGTTTTTTTTTGTGCTTCAGTAATCCATTCACCAATTTGTAAAATGGTTTCTTTATTATCCTTTTTTTACTTGACAAGTAAATTTGTATTATGTGTATTGCAGTCTTTTTTGGTAGTAGTATGTTTGCACATATAGCTCTTCCTTAAAATTTTTTGATGTTGCATACATACTTGTTAAATTCTTTTGTAAAAATTAATGTCACACCTGCACTAGCTCCATTTGATGACCAATGTCCTCTGAGTTTGTCCTTTCCATCGCCAAACCATTTTTTCTTGTTTTCATTACATCTGGTTTCTGATATTCCTATTATGTCTATATTATTATTTTTAATATAGTTGTAAAAAAGTTCACATTTCACTGGATTATTAAAACTTCTAATATTATGTGTTACTACGTTAAAGAAATGATTACTATTTATTATTGGCTCATTCTTGGTTTCTATATATGTTGAATCAAGATTCGATTCATGAGATATTACTTCAATATGTTTTTCCTTTATAAGATACGAATTATTATTATTATTATTTTTGTTATTATTATTTATGATATTGTTATTCATAAAGTTATTATTTGTATATTAAAGGAAACTTATTGTCTATCAATAAATAGGTTTTTACTATCATCCATATCTCGAGTATTAGGTGAGCTTTCTTTAATTTTTTGTTCTAACAAATCAACACGGCCTACTATTTGTTGTAATATTTCCATGACTTTGTCTTCTGTTAATAGGATCTTTGTTGAAATAGCCTTTCCTTTATTATTATTAATTGTATTGTTGTTTTCATCATCAGATCTTATCATGTTTTCATCGTATTCACTATTGTTATTGTCATAATTTCTATCCTGTTGCCATATATGAGATTCTAGGACTGTTAATTGTTCTGCGATATCTTGTAACAAGTTTTCAATTCTATCTAATCTTTACGAGTCTAGTGGTATTGAAACTGTTTTTGTAATACTTGTTTTGTTCTTTGCTACTTCAGCATATGTTTTTTCCCCTGCTTGTCTGCTAATTATTTTGAAATAATGTGAGTTATGTTTTTTATACATTGCTCCAAATTTTTCTATTCTTTCAGTGGCCTTGGTTTGGAATTCTCAATCTCTAATTATCCTTGAACATGTGATCACAAGGTGATCTGTGGCTTGGCATCTATAACAAGTTTTAATTTTGATATTAACAATTTGTATATTGAAGTTAGCTGTTTCCCATTTAAATTCTATTGCATTATCACATTCTTCTTTAAGAGCAAAAGATAAAATTACTTTATTTTTCCTTCTATTATTCCTGGTACGAGGGAAGTAGCAAGTTTTTGTTTTCAGCTTTGCTATATGAGGAAATAATTCTCTAGCTGTCATACCATAAGGGAGATCAATAATCCTTGTTGCAAATTCTCCACGTGATTTAAGATTATCTACTGTTTGATCTAGTTGTATTATTCTAATTGAGTCTTCACCAATAATAATACTTCAATTTTCTAGTACACTTTTAGCTATTTCTTCTTCTTTAAAAATAACCACGGCAGATTGTCACATATTATTAGTTCTGAGATTCATTCTTTTAATTTTTCCAAAGTTGAATTCTAGTTCTGTTGCCAGTTCTTTATATTATACATATATAGGAATGTCCCACAACTTAACTTCATACATGAGATCTTTCTCAGAATTCCTTTTAAAGATTTGTGCCCTATGCATGTAGGTAGGCTGTTCTGCATTGTCGCCCACATTGATTTTGTTACCTTTTTCCATTTCTTCTTTGTTGTCATAATATGCAGAGATCATCCTATTGTTTTCAAAATTTTTTATTTTAACCAGGACAACCTTGGTTTCTTTTTTTAAGATTTTTCTAATTTTATTGAGTTTTCAATAATATTTTTTTCACTAATTTTATGTGCAGGGGTCCAAATTTTATACTTGGGCACGTCTGTGTTTTTCTCTAAGCAAACTGGTAGTCATCTTCTGAGTTGTAAGATGCAATGGACCTGTTATCCTCTTCGTTATTTGGTTTTTTAATGATACCAGATTTCTCAGCATGTTTGCCTTTATGTTTTTTCACTTCTTTCCATTCAATTTCCTTGTTTTTCTTCAAGTCTTTAACCATTTTCTGGTTATCTTGAATTTTGGAACTTCTAGTATCTGTTTCTGCTTTCATGTCTATTTGTTGTTCATACACTTCTGGTTCATATGTTGACATTTCTCTATTCAAGATAACAACTTGGGAAGTTGGTTTGCTTCCTGATGCTACGGTAGTACCTGTTTCTATAATTTTTTCTGTCAATTTGTTAGTTATTTTCTTCTTTGACGAGTTGTCTTTATTACTGTTATACGTGTAAACCTTCTACAATTTACAAAGACAACGGGATAAAATAATACTAAAACTAATAAATAAAACTAAGTATAACT